AAATTGCTATAATTCGAAATAATGATATTGATAACAGGTGGGTAGTCCCTTACAACCCACTGTTGCTTAAAATATTTGACGCACACATAAACGTGGAACAGTGTAGCTCTGTAAAATCAATAAAATATATTACCAAATATATAAACAAAGGTAGTGATCAAGCTACATTTAGTTTATACTATCGAAATGAAGTGGAACAATTTCAATCTGATCGATACATATGTAGTTCTGAAGCGGTTTGGCGTATTTTATCTTTTGATGTACACGAACGAGCGCCTGCTATTATTCACTTGGCAGTTCACTTAGAGAATGGACAAAGGGTTTTTTTTACACAACATAATGTCAATGACATTGTGAACAATCCACGTGATACTACATTGACTGCTTTTTTCAAATTATGTGCTAAAGACGAATTCGCTAAAACCATAACATATGACAAGGTTCCAAATTATTATACTTGGAACTATCAAAAATTTCCAACGACGAAAATTAGGAACCCCCGTCGAAAATCATCCTGGGGTAAAAAAAACTGATACCCTTGGCAGAGTGTATGTAGTTCATCCGAATAACAGTGAATGTTTTTACTTAAGAATGTTGCTCCACGTGATCAAAGGTCCAATTTCTTTTGCAAGTCTACGAACTGTGCAAGGAGTGACGTATGATACATTTCAAGAAGCATGCAAAGCAATGGGTTTGTTAAAAGATGATTTACAATGGGAAAACACATTATCTGAAGCTACTGTATGTTGTACTTCACCGTCTATAAGAAATTTATTTGCCATTTTGATAGTATTTTGCCAAGTAACAGACCCGATAAGGCTTTGGCAAAATCATCGTGCAAGTATGGCTGAAGACGTATTGTTTCGAAAACAAAAAGAATGTCCATCAGATAATATAAATTACGATAAAAATATTTTTAATGAAGCTTTACTTGAGTTGAATAAAGTGGTGCAATCAGTTTCTGGCAAAAATATCACTGATTTTGGATTAATTCTATCGAACAATATAGATCTGAATACCAATACTGAATACTTGCGAGAGACGTCCTACGATAGTGTCCGTCTATTACAGGTCGTTCAAAATGAGAGACGTTTAAACTTTGATCAGAAAACGGTTTATGACGCAGTAATGACATCTATTTATAATTACGAAGGCAAAATATTTTTCCTTGATGTCCCTGGAGGTACAGGAAAAACATTTTTAATTAACTTATTGCTCGCCAAAATAAAAACAGACAGAAAAATCGCTCTTGCTGTGGCTTCATATCTGGAATTGCAGCTACGCTTTTAGAAGGTGGTCGAACTGCGCATAGCACTTTCAAGATCCCGCTAAAAATGTCCTACGATGACACATCAAGTGTCTGTAATATATTCAAACAAAGCAACACTGCTCAATTGATGCGGGATTGTGTATTCATTGTTTGGGACGAAGCATCCATGACCCACAAAAGCTCGGTTGAGGCATTAGATAGAACCTTGCGGGACTTACGTAATAAAAATACATTAATGAGTGGCTGCACAGTCTTATTTTCTGGAGATTTTCGTCAAATCTTGCCAGTTGTAGTAAGAGGAACGAGAGCTGATGAAGTCAATGCATCATTAAAGAGATCTTACATTTGGCCAGACATAACTAAATTGAAACTTAAAACTAATATGAGAATATTATCATCTGACCAAGGAAATAAAACTTTTGCTGATGCTTTACTCCGTGTTGGTAATGGTCAGTCACTGACTAGAAATGGTAAAATTGATCTGTCTGAGCTTTGTTTTTTGATGTCTAATTTTATGGACCTAATTGAAAATGTTTACCAGATTTACCTAATATTTCGACTAAAACGACAAGTTGGTTTCAAGAAAGAGCAATATTGTCACCAACTAACGATCAAGCCAATAAAATAAATGACATGATACTGTTAAAATTCAACGCACCAACAAAAGTTTACTATTCCATTGACACTGTTTTAGATGCAGAGGAGGCGATACCATTATCCAACTGAATTTTTAAATTCTTTATCACCTTCAGGGACCCCACCACACAAATTAATTCTAAAAATAGGGTCTCCTATAATTTTACTTCGTAACTTAAGTCCACCTAAATTATGCAACGGTACAAGATTACAAATAAAGTCTTTAAAAAACTGTCTGCTTGAGTGTATAATCCTTACTGGCTGCGGAGCTGGGGAAATGGTCTTGGTTCCTAGAATACCAATGATACCAACCAATTTGCCATTTCAGTTCAAACGGCACCAATTTCCCGTGAAATTAAGCTTTGCAATGACTATTAATAAGGCACAAGGTCAAACATTAAACGTTGCAGGTTTAGACTTAACCGTCCAGTGTTTTTCCCATGGTCAATTGTACGTAGCTCTGTCACGTGTCACATGCAAACAAAATCTATTTGTGATGGCCCCAGAAGGTGAGACACTTAACGTGGTGTATCCAGAAATATTTAATACTTAAGACAAATTGATATAATTAACAAAAAAAATAAAAATCATACATCATACATCATAACGAAACAAATATATTCCACACGTATATAAAACAAATTAATCAAATTAAATATCTGATATAATTCATATCAAACTTTTCACATATTCCTAAACATATATAAATGTACTGAAATCTAGCAATAGCAAAGCATTGCCGGGTCAGCTAGTTTTTAATAAAACAATAAATACTTCATCAGGTAAAAAGGGATCGGGGCGCAATCGTGGTGTAATAAGTCAGATCAAAAAAGGAAAAATAATTTATTCAATTATTGCGCAATCGTGTTGCAGCCATAAGTGTTGACCAGAGATACCAAACATGCGACAGTGCATAAAAATCGACGTTTTTATAATTTTACCATTATATATAACTATTGTATATGGCTGGTGGGTACTCGATCACATATTACCAAGTTGTGAAGTTCCGAGAGTTCACTTTTATGGTCACAAAACTTTGTGATGCAATTATGAAATCACCCTGTTTATCTTGGATTCAAAACTGGTCGAACTATAAGCACTAATCACAGCGAATAGTACATTCTAGCATTAACTATCAATAAACTTTTTATGACCACTCAAAGGTCGCCTTAAAAAAAAAATCAAATTTTAACAATTTTTTAAACATGATTAACGATAACAATGAAAACCATACCAAACATACCATTACCAAACCCATTTAATTATATTCATTTAACATAATAATAAAATAGGTAACCTATTTGTTTAGTATGTATTTACATTTTATTTAACTTTATTAATTTTAATCGTTGTTGGACTCTTGCAAATGGAAAAATTTCTTTTGAATATTTTAATTGTGTTATATTTTTGATAAAATATGTACTTGGGCCAATATGTTCGTATTTATTAATTTATAAGTTTAGTAGATAACATACTAAACGTGCAAGTTTTGAGCGAATAAACGCCAAAACGCGTGATAAAATACACTAATATTTAAGAAGAATTGATAGATAAATTCTGAAAAATGCTTTAAAAACTTGAAAAATTCCATTAAACAGCAAAATAAGCCCTAAAAATGCATTTAAATTTAAATTTGTTAAAATGAAAAAAAAAAATGCAAAATAAAAACTACATTAAATTAATCAGTATCACTTAAAACACATTTTCTGCTTACGGACCTAGAAGCATTAGAAAAAAATATGCATTTGCAACAAAATTCCAGCCCAATTGATCATATATACCCATTGCATAGAAAAATGCAGCAGTGAACTGAGGTTCAAATTCGTGTTTAGCGAAACCCAACTTATAATTTTTTTTCATAAATTCTTCGAGTCACAATTTTTTTTATTTAACGGGGAAAAATAATAAGCTTATACACGCAGCCATACGCAGAATAATTTTTTTGAAAGTAAATAACACATATTAATTCACAGTAGTGATTTTTTTGGGAGAGGGAACAGTGAGTCTAAGCCTCCCACAGGTCCCAAGTTTAAACTGTGATAAATCATTCGTTTAGGACGTTCGGGTTTAAAATTGTATGTAATATTTCTTTCATATAAACTCGTATAAGAATTACATTTTAAGTAATAAACTATTAATTAGTTGAACATTTTTGTATCTTAATATATTGTAAGGTAATATCAAAGTAACCCTTCATAATTTTTTTTAAAACCCACCACTGATAATATAATTATAAAAACAATTATCAAATATCTTCTAATTATAAAATTCTACTTTATATTTATAACATGTTGTCATATAAATAAACAACAGAAACGTCCAATTTAATACAAATATTTACATTTCACTAATAACCATAATATACCATTCGAATTGTTCAAATAAAATTCCACATTACTGCAACTGTCATGGCTAATGTAAATGTATCAGAGTAATACATAATTTAGATTAGTAGAAATACGTTAATTAAACTAATTATTTTCTTCGGTGAGCATTAGATCATTATTAGAAATTTTTAAGTATACGCATAAATCGCACGAGAACCGATATAATAAAATGTGTCTCAAAATGTTTTTGGAAAAATTTTAAAAGTGACTTTTTCAGGAAAAATATACTTATTGTTAGGACCAGATGTAGCATAAATAGTCGTCATATAGGCCCTGTTTATTAAATACACGTCTAGAATAGAAGCTATTATAAAATGACTTCTATTTATTATAATATATTTATCGAAATAATTGAAATAAAATAATTATTTTTAATATTTGTCGTAGTAAAAACGAGTTAAAATAAATATATTTCAGTTTTAGGTAAGAATAATTTTTAAGTAGATTATTTTTTTTATTCGATACAGAATTTGTTGCTTCTTTAAACTGGACGTCCTAGGTCAAAATTTATAGCATTTCAAACAGTAAGTCATTAAAAACTTTTTTCGCTTTACTCATAATATTTACATTGCACGCATACACACCACACATACGTAAATACTACAAGTACTACGGATTTATATTTATAAAGTACTAATTAAGTACTCACTGCAATTCCGATGTGTCGTTCCAAACGAATCACGACTATGTCTACTTAATTAAAATATTAAACATATTTGACTTTGATTTTTAGTCGTGACAAATGAGTTTTGTTTGATCACCGCTATTTTAATACGGTACATGCACTCATAATATAAATACTTAATTTACCCACGTATAGTTATAAGTCGGTATATTTATATTTTTAAAGTGTGGTATTGTCGTTTGTTGTTGAACCAAGTGGAAAATAATATATTACAATATTACGTCCGAGCGTTTTCAAATTCACAAAGCAGCTGCGGGAGAAAAATCGTGTACACGTACAGTACTGTATTGTACATTATAATGCGTCATAAATATAATATTAAATGTTTATTCTCACGTTAATTAATATTCTCATCACGATTCGGGCCACGGAAGTTTAAAATTAACCTAGTTACCCATATACTCTTATTTACAAAACGGAATCGTAATAGAAATGGAAATATGATTATATATTGCTTGTCCAGATAAACGGAACGACATAACATTATGATAAACGTGTGCGCATTGTATAATTTGTAGCGACTTATGTTCACCCATCCAGAACTTTAAACGTATTACATTATAATATTCAAGTCTCATAAAATCCTCGGAAAATACTACACCGACGTTGTTATACGTTGGTCGCTGAACAACACCATCAGTCTTCATCTCTATCCATCTGCTTCGTCCCGAGTTCTGGCTTCCTATTATAAACAGTGATTTTTAATCGTCCTCCTCTCCGACTGTGCGTCGACCCGAATATCTATTAATACGTTGTGCAGTAAATAAGGGAATTATTAATATGAAAATCAGAACAGCCAATTATGTTATGAAAAATCCAATATATTATTGCGCGTATAACATTCACGAAGGGGCTATAAATAAAATACACTACGTCTCCTAAATAATAATGATTAAAGGTGCGATCCCATGGCGCGTGATTAGCCCGTGTGACGCCGCGCGCGCACGTCACACGATCCCGCGGTGCATTTCTCGGCGCACTTTCCCAGCGTTTATTACGGGCCACAACATATTTCCTTGGGCGCGCATCACAGATCATGAGGGAAGGGACGCTTACACGAGCCGCGCCCAGCAGCACCAACCCTACGGCGCAGGCTCGGCTCAAGGGGTAGGCGACATAGCTACCCACGCCTAGGACGGCATTTAACATTTTTAAACTATGGATGATTTGAAAAAAAAATACTACATTTACTAGTACCTATTCATATAAAATTATGTGCAGTAAAAAATAAGACTCAAAAACTGTTTTGTTATTTTTAAACTAGTATTGGTTTACTTGTCTGTAAATGTATTAATTTAGTATATTGTTAACTTTACATAAATAAATTAAATTAACTTAGAATTAAGTCTATTTTAATATTATTTATGTAAAAATAATATTTTATGTAGTATTTACACGTAAGGGGCAGCAAAACTTAAGTTTGCCTAGGTGTAAGTAAATTTTGAGCCGGGTCTGCCACGGTGCATGTATTGCACCGCGCCACGCGTCGTGGGATCGCACCTTAATGTTATACATTAGGAAGCCGAAATGTAGTTGGTAATTTTTTTTTTGGCACATTCGATTTATTGATCTAAATAAAAAACAATAGCTATGCTCTCGGTAGTGTCGTTTGATGGCAGATACTGGAAATCCCAAATGAAATTGTTGAATATTACTGAATCGAAAAAAAAAACCAAACAACACGGTTTTAATGTTAAAATGTACACATAAGAACATGGATTGTCGTACTTACAAGTGTCATATGTTGTCAAACGGCCGTCCAAATGTCTACAAATATCGGAACAAGGATTTTTCGGTACCATTTGATAATCAATTGTTCCGTTTATTTGCACAACAGCCACTCTACTATCGAAGTTCAAATCGATCTAAGTTAAAACGTAATATTTTAATAATGTCGAACAGCATATCGAACGCGCTAAGTTATAGTTTACTTTTTTGTAGTGTACTGTGTTGTATTTTAACGAAATGATTGTCCACGTTTCGGCGAAAATGCTTAAAAACGAATCGGGTCTGTACAACGAACGCATCTTTTTGCCTTGGATGTCATCACAATTTCTCCTTGAAAAAAAAAACAATTTGAAAAATGTTAAGGTAATATGGTATGTTCAGTTTGAACTACATATTTTTACCGGCTAGTTCCATTGTAATATACACTCGAACGAATACGGTTTAATAAAAACTAAACGCGTTATAATATTGGATGTTCATCGGAAGTGAAATAAAATAAATTCTTCAATTTGTATTCATCGATTTCATAGTCATAGACACAACAAGGATATTACTGTATGTTTTATAAAATTAAAAATTAATTCATAAAACCATATTTAATGATTAATTTAATGTAACCAACTATTGTTTTCTTGGTCAATAAATATGTTTTTGAAAAAAAAAAAATGAAATATAGTATATATTGACAAACCGATTTTATTAATCGTTATTATTTCAAGCTTTTGAGAAAAAAAAAACCAAATAACATATTTTACAAAACAAATACTAACCAATGCATAAACCACCCAGATTTTATTTCGATCGCTCGGAGTGGATCGATTCTCAAGTTAGACTTGTAATCGCACGGTAAAAAGTCCCCGGTTAATAGAACCTAGTATGATTAATGAACAATTAACGGTCGTTAAAATTAACGTTTGAATGGGCTACAAACAGTTGAAGAATGCTTACACGTGCTACGTCTTCAGCACTGACATTAGCAACGATACGGCTCTTGTACACTACTGGCCAATCGAATTCTGCGTACGATTCCAACGTTTCCTCGGGATCATTGACAACGGTTACTCGATTGATGATCTCGCATGACTTGATATGAAACAAACACATGGTATTGTACACTGTAATGTTTGGTTGCTCAAACGATATTATACTTACGTAACAATCTGAATTGGTAAGTACGCGGTCTGGTATTTTTTTGTACACTAGACATGAATCATATAGTAAATTTTTGAAATTCTTCAAGTCGATCACCTGTAAAATACTATTTATTTTATTTTCGTCACAACTCATAAAAATAATCATCAAGCTTCAAAAGTGCAATTCTCCATTAAAAATGTCAATATTTGTATATATTTATGTTTTACAATCTGGATTTTAAATGCCTTCATTAAGAATCCCTTGTAGTATCGTTTTTTATTAACACATCAATTACTGGAATATTATTTGAGAATGCAATAATAAAAAAAAAAAAAAGTTTCATTTTAGTATTCAAAATAATACAACGATTGTGCATTTTTTAAATCTATAATTTTTAAGAAATAGTACTTTAGATTAAGTATTCTAGTCTAAAATAATAAATAATATACGAGAATAGGTAATTCAGTTAGTATTGTCATAAACAGATTTTAAAAGTAAGAGGTATTATTTATTTTCAATATTTTTGATCAAATGTAAACTATCAAGACATTTCTGATAAAACCATAATTTCAAATCAACTTATTTATTTTTGAAGAACAATATATTTAACTAAATATATTTATCTTTTATTTTACTAAATTAAAATTTTGATTCTTTAAAGTGTTAACAATAGTTAACTTTATTAATTTATTTTTAAATTCAGTGCTTTTATATTAGATGAAACCGATATTAAACATAAAACATAAATAATATTCGACTCGCTAGCGCCCCTTGCAAACTTTGACAAAAATGCTTTTCAACCAATTAAAATTTAATATTATGATATTTTTTAACCTTTAATTTTACTAATTTTTTTAACTATACTATTTTTATTTACAAGTTATTATTACAGTATTAATTTTACACTTTGAAAATTTACTTTTCTCGCTTTATGACTGACAAATTCATTGATAATTTCTTTATATGAAATTTTTTATCTAAATGCTCTTGTGCTATTTTCATAATTTCATCATTAAATTCACACGTAGTGTGTACAAATAGAGAACATCTACGTATTTCAAAAAGTATAATGGAAAAGTTTTGATTTTATTGTAGGATAAAAAAACGACTTTTGCACAATTTTGCGCCCCTTTGCAATTCGCGTCCTTGACATAGGGCTTACCGTAGGCACAGATCACCATTCCCTTGCTACGCTACTGAGAGAGAGATGTTATTGATTTTTTATGTGAATTCTGTTGTACATAAACGAGTTAAAACTGATGCGAATATTTCGACCCTAATACTCTATTATCATATTGTCCGACCAGTAATATTAGAGCCGGCTTATGGGAGGAGCGAGTTGTGCTCAAGCATCAACACTATACTTTATAAAAATTACATAAATAAAAAATAAAACTTAATTTTACTGTTGAGCAACAGTACTTTAAATTTCATAAATGTGTTAAATGTGGGTATGCGAAATAATTTGATTATAATATTTCTTGTTGGGATATAAAACGAGACAGTGACGCCGAAAACGTATGGCAAGTAGGGTAAATACTCTAGAACTTTCTTAGCGAGTGGTGGGTCGTGAGTTTTTATTTTAAAATAGGTAAAGTTGTAATTTTTAAATATTAAATACTAAGTTACAGTTACTAATAATATTCAGAGAAGTAGACAATAGGTAAGCAAGATTCAGTTAGCAGGATAGGAGCTATAGTGCACTTAGTGCAGTTGTGAAAAAAATGATAAGGATCCGACACCGATGCACACCCGCCATATCATAACACATGGTAGGGTGGGGAGTTCTGTCGTTGAGCAATAATTACTGAAGCAGCGGCTATTTTTAGAAAATAAATCGGAATCCAATCCATGGCCTATAATAATAATACAGGTTAATGCAAGCACGCAGCGTTTAAGTCATATCCACTACTCGCAACCGGCGCGGTGCGTGCTCGTTCGGAATCGAGAGCGCCGTGCCGCCGTACACTATTTAATGAACCTTCGTCTTAAACGTTTCGCGTCATTATAAAATTTATACGTGTAAATGCGGCCGTCATATTATTAATACCCACGCGTACCTATGACTACGGTTATAATGTTAGATCTACTGCCTACCTAAATATACATACCAATATATAGAACATAGAAACTGTATTATAACATAGCTTGATTTGTATTTATTGAATTAATACTTATTCAGATATAATACCTATAAAAATAAATATATCACAATTAAATAATCGATCAATATCGATAATTTACGATCAACTTTACTTAATTAAATTAATGTGATAAATTATAATTGATAATAATATATTATAATATAGGTATAATAGGTAAAATAAGTATTTATATTGATAGTAAATAGTAATTAATATTTTTTTAATTGTTTATTATAAATACAATATTTTATAATTAAATATACATAGGCACAACACATTTTATACAATACCTATATTCAATAACCTAACCTATAGCTTGATTTGCATTTATAGACTAATAACCTAAAAATTTTTATCATGTAAAAATCAGCCTTTTGTAAAAACGCATTTAATTTTTTTGTTCTTATAATATGCTATAAAAATTAAACATTTTTACATTTTTGATTTCTAAATTATTTGCAAATTTTCGTTATTTTGACTTAAAATATAGAAATTTGTTAATTTTTGTAACAGAATACTTGTAAAATAAAATTGTCCATATGTATTTAACACATTTTTGATTCTTATATGAACAACTAATAATTAATTGAATAGGTATTTAAAAAAACAAGTCAAAAAGAATATATTTAATTTAATAGGTACATAGTTGATATTATATATTTTATAATTACTATAATGTACGTACACTATAATGCATATATTATGAATTATGATAATAATATAAATAATAGTATATAATATACCTAGTATAATAAATAAATTGTATAACATTTTATATTTTTTTGAGTTTACTATTTATATTTTCCAATATATGTGGAGGTTCTTTTACATCATCTAAAAGTAACCGTTTGTTATATTGCGGGTTTATTATTTCTAGCAATAAACAATGCATATAGAAACTAAAAAAAAAAATTAAATTATATTTACCTATTATTACTTATTTTATACTTATTGTGGTATTTAAAAATAATAACAAATATTTCTCATGTTCTAAATTTTTAACCATTTTTTGTGAACAAAATGTATCATCGTATACAATTTTCTGAATTTCAGTTCAATTAGTGTAGTGTACCACAAAATAACAAAATTTTTTTTGACGAATGTTCATTTGGTCTTGCACTTGAAAATAATAAAGGCTGTCAGGTTTTAATTGCATTTTATTTTCTACGATTCTATGTTTCAAAAATAAAATACATATATTTTAGTCAATAGCAGTTTTATTACTAACAATAGTGCATAGGTTATAACTTGTATATTTATTTTTTTGTTTAATATAACTTCTTTAAATGAAACAAAATCTTTTTCACCAAAAGGACACTTTATTTTTACAACCCCGTCATCTTCAACTAAGCCATCTATAAAATGAAAGATATAATTTTTTTTTCTGTAAACCTAAATCTAAATATATATTAATGATAGATTTATTATAATATAGAATACACACTTGGAGAAGCTGCTAAATAACATAGATTTTCATTTATCACAAGTCTACTTGGTCGTACCTTATAGTTTAAAATCGTTTCAAGTGTTGTTAAAGCAGAAGATTCTAGTGCTTTTCCATATTCAGTGGCTGCAGTGGAAAATGTTCTGTATAATAAATCATATACAGTTGATTTATACGATGTTGTTGATCTAATTTTACATGTACGCTCAAAGTTGGGCGCGGTTAAACGATGTCTTCTTTCACTATGCCAAAGTTGACTATTAACTTGGTCTCTTACTTTTCTTCAAGAGCCAATCATTCACTTTTTTCTAATTTAAAATTGTTTAAAAATTGTATATTTTTGCATTCAACTTTTTCGGGTGTTTCGTGGTCTTCCGGAAATGGCTCAGATAAACCATAATGTTGATCTGGCTTAGTGACTGTTATTTTTACTCTGGATTTCGTGAAGAGTTCTTTTCGTTTTTTATTAGTTGTTCGTTTCACCTCATTAGCTTTTAAAATTTTTTTCCAACTCCACCTAAATATTGTGACATAATAATAGACTTTAAAGTTTGAATTTTATAAAAAAAAAAGAAATTGAAAATTTAGATTAGTTAAATTTTGAATAATTATCACTAAAATAAAACTACTTACACTGTCACATTCGAGTAAAATTTAATCAATTCCAAAATGTTTATTTTATTTTATCGTTTTATTAAAATGTAAAATATAAAAAACAATTCTTTACTTACCTGGACTTATGTTTGTAATGTTTTTGTGCATTTTGTTCAGATACTGACCATATGAATTGTATGAAATTAATGCAGCTTCAACTCTAACGTTATACGGATTACGCTGTGATAAATTTATCCGCTTTCCGGCAATGTGCTTATTTATTATCGAATTAAACTGTACACAAGCGTTATTGTCTACATTCATATAAAGGCTATCTGAATGTCCCGCTATTCTGTTGCTAATTTGTATTAACTTGTTGAATCAAACCACATTTTTCAGCTTCAAAAGCTAAATTAACCTCATCATTTTTTTTACCAATACAAAAGTAAGGTTCACAATTTCTATGTTCTCCTAGTATGTGGTAAAAACTATTCTTAATATCATTTTGGATACCTACAATATTTGTAAAAATATAGTAAAAAAATAAAAATTTTTTTGTAAATGTACAACTAACAAACCATTTATTTTATCAGACATAGTTCCATCGGAATCTTTATGATGTGTAATGGATTTCGTTATAATAGTTCTTAACTGCATTGTATTATTCGCTATATAATTTCTAATCCGATAGGATACTTCGTTTTTTTAGTTAAAGCCATAATATTTTGACAATAATTTCTTAAAAGGTGGTTACGAAATTCTACTTTTTGAACGACACATGAATATAACAACAGTGATTTTTCCCCATAACATGAAATATAGATCGGCGGCACTGTCCACAGTGGTAGTGAAACACGAAATCAACGATAAACAAGATAAATAGTCATATACATTTCAAAATTTATATAATAAAGAAATATCGTTTCCAATGTAAAATAAAAATAAGTACCAATTTTAAAGCACAAATTTGCGCCCCTGGCGTAGGCACAGTTCGCCATACCCTTACTACGCCAATAACAATTATAATTTTTCGATGATGAAAATTATAGGTAGGTATTTGTGAACGTGCTGACGGAGATGCATTTATATACGGTTATCGAATTACCAAAATAATTATCGTATGCGCAGTGTCGTAAAGTGTTCTAAAGCCTCAAAAAAATTTTGCACTGAGTTATTGAAATTTTATAATAATTGCGGCATAGCCATATACAAAATTTAAGTGAATTTTCAACAATGAGCTATTTCACGGTGAATCTAAATCTTGAATCTTCAAAACTACACGTCGGCAGAACAACAGGGCATCGGCATCGCGGTCGTGTGATACATCCAAAAGCGTAAAGTATGCCATAAGTGACTACAGTGACGATTTAAAATTATTTTTTGTCCGACCACGAAGCGCTTGTGTACACGGAAAATACAGCAATATCATTTCCCGACCCAATAAGTTCTAACCGTTTTAAAGGAAAGAGGCTTAAATAATATTTTTTACTTTTTTAAGATTGATGGTGCTTTATTTTAGTATTCTTAGTTATTTTTTCTTTGGTTTGAATCTTTTTTTTTTTTTTTAGAATTTTATAGAGTTATAAAATCCTAATTCTACCAATAAGATATTCGTGCAAAACTTCTTTGTGAAAACAAAATATTACTATTGACTTACCTGCATAATTGCTAATTTTAAAGCAGCACGGGCGTACAGATTGATGGTATAATTTTGCCAAATCAACACGGAGAGAAGTACGACAGTCACAACAAGGATCCACAATATTCTACGTTCCTTCATGGAATTTTTTAATCGGTTTCCGAACAAATATTTAAAGTCCATTCGTTGTGTTTTCGAAACGCACGGTACGTCTATATCTTATACTCAGTGCTTGTTTACCGGATCTAAAATATGAAAATATTGGCCACTATAAACGAAAAACTTTATTTTTACAAAAAATAATAATTAATATTAGATTATTTAATTTTTTTTAGTTTTTGAGCGAAACGTGGAATGAATTCGTTTACCATTAAGTTTTTTTTGACAATATACATAATTATAACTGGAAAGATTAATCCGTTCATCCAGTTGCGTAGCCACGATTTTTAAATGAAAAAAACAATTTTTTTGGGCTGGTTAGGTAAGAAATGCTATGGGAGTTCATTCATAGCACCCTTCACCAAATTTAAAAATGTATTTCCGGCATTTTAAAATAGTTTTAATAGTATTTATTAAAATATAATTGATAATAATAATAATTTAACAATGATCAGCAGCGGTTACGACATAACATGGTATAAGAAATATAGCGATTATAAAATGTAAGTCAAATAGTCAAATGTAATGTAAATGTTAAACGAGAGTCGCCACAAAGTTCACTTTAACCACCAAAAAGATAGTAGTAATCACGGTAAAAGTAATACGCTTATGTATTTACCAATGACAAACTCTCATTATTCATCAACATTTAGTTAGTTTTTTAAAATATAAAAATTATTATATAAATATAATATAATTTACACCAAATAGTAGTATAATAATTTAGTAAATACACATAAACGCGACCCATAAGGCTGTTATAATAGATTTCTGATAGGAAATGTTGTCTAGTTGTACCAACTTTAAGGGAGTAATTTTAAAAATTTTACAATAGACTTCTTAATAATTACAAAAAACTGAATACAATTTATAAAAAAAAAAACAGCAACATTTACGACGGATCAGTTTTCGATCAAATGTAATTTTTGTTTTTATTGTAATTCAAAACATATTGAACTTAGAGACTTAACATTTTCATTATATTCTTATATCACCTACGTTATAAATTGTATATCTTTTAAAATGTTTGAAGCTATTTTCAGATAGTTGAAAATGTTATGTTTTCTTAGCTTCTTTTTCAAAAAATAATCAATTAATAATTTTAACTTGACAAAAGTCTTGAAAATATAATAAAAAGTTCTTCATAACTATGAGTTACTGTTTAATTACTGAAAACATTTAGAATATTAAAAGTTCAATCAACTTCATTGATAAATTAGTTCTACTATTATATCAATCTTGTTTAGAAATAAAAACTGATTCACCTGACTTGTTTCATTCAGAATCGTTTTTTCTAGACCTTTTTTCCATTTTTTTTAAATAATGGGGTATATTGATAATAACTTTAAAATACTATAACAGTAAAAAAATATACCTCTTCCTATATCTCACCCAGCCGTAGAGTATCGTCTGACCAAGGGGTTTTGACATTTTTTTAAATTTAATACGTCGTAAAAAACAATTTGTTAGAATTTAATTAACTTAATCATCTATATTCTAATCACTTACCGTGGACGCACGTTTGTGTGTGTGTATGAATGAATTGATGAAAAATAAAAGCGTAAACTGTGGTTTTTTGATGACTGATGCAGAGCACCGCAGAGCTTTCCTCTACGAATGAGACCGATTTTTTCAACAGAGCGTGTCGGCTAACGTAGAACCATATTAGTTATTACCCATTTTTCTAATTCGTTGAACCGAACGTTATTGAATTATAAAACGAATCTTCACACAGTAAATTATACGTAAAGGAAAAATATATACGACGATTTTATCATTTATTTAATAATATCAGCTGAGTAGGTGGGGACGGTGTAGATAAAAACTGCTCAATATTGTTTTTCTACCGGAAATCCCGGTAGGGGCACCATTTCAGTTTAACATTTCTTTGTGAACGAGCTTTCAGACAGGCCAATATTTAAATCACACCGGGCAGTTGAAAAAAGTATTTATGTACTCAAACGAAGGTATTTTAATATTTCAAATGAAAAACCGTCAAAAAAAAGTATACATATACGTATGAATGTTTTAGGTGAAGACGTAATAATACAAAAGTTGGTTGTAACAGAGTATTCAAGAGTTAATGAATGACCAATTTTTTAGTGTTATGTTATTTTAGTGGTTACACTTAGTGGTACACTATTTTTTCCCTCTCAATGGACGGACAATATAAAGTATTATTATCACACGTTAAGTTCTTTTTACGTCAATGGACGAATCAAAACTGCGACCAAAATGTTTTATTTCTATTAATTATGTCTATTATGCAGCTAGTAGCTGAAAAAACAGAAATTATTAAGTAAACCAAACTCAAACTGATGACCGAATTTTCATAAAAATATATTAAAATTTTAAACTTTAGATTTAATTTCTTAAGTAATCTACGAAAAATAATACCTATAGTTAGAAGTTAATGATATGTTATAATATAAATATATATTAGCATATTATATTATTTTACTATATTATGCTATAAGTACAACAAGTAGAACAACATTTTGACGTAATATATTATAATACAACTCAGTACAAAGATAAGTGCTGTATTTTTCTTTTTATGTTTCGGTTAACGAAAATCTGTCCCATTTCAAAAATTAATTTACAAAGCATGCTTTGATAAATCATGTTTTATACTTTATTGAAAATTAATTTAGCTACCTCAATTTAACTAGCGATAAATATAGTATTTATATTTTATATCTACTATAGTTAAATATGTATAGACAAACCGAGATAAAATGGACGTGACAGTTTTGAGTTGCTAATTTTATATTCAAATTTGACTCATACTGTGGTTGTATTGGTTAATTTATTGGTTTTGATATATTTTTTTGAAACATAATAGAATACTAGACGTTAAATTAAAATGTAAGTTAAATTTGAAGTAAAAAATTTATCAAGTAATACAAATTAAAAAAAAAAAAAAAAATAACTAGAATTTATTAAATGCATAAAATACCCGAGAACAGTATTAAATTTACGGATTGTTATAATTTATGGAATAATTAAAATCCAAACTACCGAATTGGATATGTAAATCGAAATTCATATTTTAAAAACTGATAACCCTAAGAAAAAGTTGCATTATTGCATTGAATGATTTTTCTAGTTCTAAATCAAGAAAGAAAATTATTTGAATTTTATATTTATTTTGTATATCTAGCAATTAATAGAGGTTTTAATAAATAATAATAATTAGTAACAATTTTTTTTTTGACCGGGAGGGGCACAATATGTATTGCCCTTATCCTGAAATTCTTAAATACGCCACTGAACACAAGTGGTTCATCAATAATCTTATAATAATAATATATGATTGAATTTATTTGTTGTCTCTCCCATAACTATCAAATTTTAATTTATTATTAAAAAATACAATAAATCCTAATGTAAAAGCTAGTAAAATAAATTTAACTCTATAGAGTAAAACACCTATTTATATTTTTGTAACTTTTTATTAAATAATCAGTAATATTCATGATTTAAATCAATAATTAAAAATTAATTCTTTATCATGAGAGAGCATTGGCATACTGATGATAGGAGGGGGGGGTTTCATGGGGTTTTAAACACCATCCCAACCATTGACCAAATTTTTTTTTGCCATTAATATTAGTACAAATTTACAAATTGAATATCAGTATTGTAAGGGATGTGAAAAGCATTGTTACACCATATAGTTAATACTTATTATTAAAAAATAAATATATTAAATATATCATTTCTACAAATTTTGTAGAACTAAAAAATTATTGATAAATTATTATAACCCGTCATCGGTATCGCCATGTTTTGTATCGTGATTGGTATCGTGTTAACGTTATGCTAACATTATGGTTTTTTCTGTCCTATGAATTATTCAATGAACTTCGTAAAGTGAAACAAAGAAGATAATGTTTCTCTATTTACATCTTTAAAAAATTTTAAATATATATATATACTACATTGTACATATTCTGTGATGGACCCTCAACGTGACCTCAATAATTTAATAATTATTGTGATAATAACACTTTTTTTTTTGTTATTTCTTACTAAAATTATTTTTATCAGCTATTTGTATTAGCTTTATATATTTTAAATTAAAAATTGCGAATATGTAATGAAGAAATGATCCCAAATATCTATTGCCTGTTAAAAATACGATGTACTCTACCAGTTTTTACTGCAGCCCCGAAGAGAATTTTTTCATATCTTAAAATACTCAAAAACTTATACATCGAAATAATATCGATAAAATATCGAAGATATCAAACGTTTTACCTTTTTTCACGGCACGATTGCGAACAAATTTCAAAGAATTTTTTTGTTGCCGAAATACGAACTATTGCGAACGTTTTTGTAGGCCACGTTGCCAAATTTTTATTTTTCCAAATGAGTAAAAAATTCTGAATTTATTTTATTAGAGGATTTAATAACATATTTTTTTTCTAGAAAAATCTACTCGATATTTATAATATTGTTATATTATAATTTAAAATATAAATATGTCATGTGTATGATGACATATGTCGCATCCACTTTGTATAACCTTAATATTCACGAAATGGATATCCATTTCATGAACTTCAATCATATCGTGTAGGTAGTATTTAGGTTCATGAAATAGACATTTATTTTATCTGTTTCGTGTAATGGAAACCCGTATTTTACACTTGATATAATTTATTTAGTTTTTACATTAAATGGATAACTTTTTGTGAAATCGACATTTTAACGATAGAATAATTATTTGACAACTTTATGTTTACATTCCCTTGTGAAACACATGAAATTGAGATGGGGTTTTCAATAATAAGCAACTATCTAATAATGCGCATGCGATAATATGCTGTGTAAGAAAAAAAAATTTTGAATTAAAAAAAAAAAAAATCAGGACTAAAAGGGTTTAAGTATAAATGAGTGGTTTCAAAATAAATCAAATAAATACAACTATTAATTACCTTATATCATCACCTTCAGTTTACTAAATACTTTTTTTCTGCTACGTATAATACATCATATTGCTTCAATATATCTATAGATAATACTCTCTTCTAGATTTTTACCACTGCAAAGAAAACGTACATATGTAATTAAAATTAGAAAATAGTTAAAATGAATTTTTCAATAATCACACTGTATAATCAATTATTTTAACTTTTAATTACATTGTTTTATCTGCTAAAATTTTATTGATTATTACTTCCATTAAATTTTCAGTTGGTGGTTTTTTTCTGGCTTTTCAATGTACATCTAGTTTTTTATAGAACTCGGAAAATGCATCCATTTTGTATAATAATAAGCTGGGCTCATAACTTATAGCTCTAAAAAAGGTTGTTATAAGCACCAGTGGCGTAACCAGAACTTTTAATGCCCGTGGCAAAGTAATCCAATTGAGCCCTTAGTTTTATAAATTTGGAAGAAAGAGGTATGAGGAATAGCCTATAAAAACTAACCACCTATAAAGTTCTACCCTTTAAGGTTACAAATAATAAAAAACATGTTTAGTGTAATATTATTTTTATAGTAAAATTTTATTAAACTTTTTTGGTTTAAAAAATATATACAAAGCAATACAAAATTTCTTCTTTCTTGCTTTTAATTTTAACAATTTCATTAACAATGCTAATGTAACATTAGCAATGTTTTTTCCCCTACGCTCAAACTTTTAGATAGTAAGCCCCACGCTAAGTTTCATTCATTAATTTTACTGATTAGAAATGGGGAAAAGGTACTGGTAAACTGGTAAATTTTAGATCTTCTAAATAGTTTTTTTTTAATTGAAATACTTTGGATTAATGTTTTACAACCTTTTAATTACATTAAAAATAATATAGTCATACTATATAACTTATACATAACCATAATGATAAAAACGGTAAGATAATGGTGGTAAAAGTTTGTCAATCGTCCCTTCGGTTCTCGGTAACCTATGATAACTCATTTCTTTAATAATAAGATTCTGATCAAAGCTTCAATTAAAAATATATCGTTTACATAAATTACCATTTTTAATCTAATTGTCGTTTTTTTTTTTTTTTTATTAACTTGTATAAAATTTTCTTGTTTGACGAAGTAAAAAAAACTTTAGCCAAGCATTCAAAATATCTTATTCTATCTGTGAACAAACTTTAATTATGATTGGAAAGGTTAATTTATTTTAATAAACATTTAAAGTTGAAAATGTATATAAAAACAGTAAATTCTTGATGAGAAAAAATTTAAATTTCTTGTGAAATATAATTCGGAGTTATGATTTTTGAAATTTTTTCAGTATCGTTAGGTAAATATTGGAGTAAGGTAATTTTAAATTTTTAAGTCTTAATGTCCAAAATTAAAAAACGTTATTTTATTACATTAGAACTTTCAAAATACGAGGTATTTTTAATGTTTCATATTTGAACCAAAATTGCATAACTTTTTTTAGAAACTTTGTTAAGTATAAAAAAAAGAATGTCTTTGATATAAAGTAAAAGTTTCAAAATTCTAATCACATTATTTTTGACTTTTAGAGTTTTGACTAAGAAACTAAAATCTGACAAGTGAAAGTCTTGTTTACAGTGCGTTTTTATTCGGTTTTTCGATTATTTTTACTCACGCATTGAAAAATTATTGAGATTTT